GATCACGGCGAAGGTTTAACCCCCCACCTCCCCCTTGTTTCTCCTCTCTCTCTCTCTCTCTCTCTCTCTCAAATTGAGGGAATTGGTCTGGATGTGCTTATTGGAGCGTGTGCCGCGCGCGCATGGCTGTGCGTTTGTAAGTATCCTATTAGCCATGACCAGGTTATATATGTGTGTGTGTGTGTGGGGGGGTTATTGATGTCGATATATATATATAATTATTTTTTTTTTTTTTTTTATTTAATTATTCATTTTTCTAATGTGAAACCTATGTTTAAAGACCATTTATTTTAAATATATAGACTAATTAACACCAGACTTTATCTCCTTATTGACAAGCAAGCACAAGCTACAAAAACACAAACCAGGCAATGAGGAAGGAATATATTAAAAAATACTTTATTGTAATGTAAATGAATCATTAAAAAAAACATGTTTCAACCACTATATGGCGATTTTTTGTTTGTTGAAAGCTCTGACAGACCTCCAGTGGTCTCACTGTAGGCTCAAGAGGTAGAGCCCGTCATCCAGAAGGTCGGCGGTTCATTCCTGGCTCAGGACATTTGACTCCTACATGTCAAAATGTCCTTGAGCAAGATACTTAACACCAAATTGCTGTGCATGAATGTGAATGAATGTTAGTTGCTGATTCATCTTAATTAAAGAGAAATGCATATGAAACCAGAGTGTGCAACACTTTTCCTTTTCTCATTAAAGGATCTCCAGTCGGCCATGAGAAAAATATGATGGAAATGTGCCATTGCTGTTAGTGTCATGTATTAATGAGAGGAATGTTCTGATGTTTTCAGTTCTTCAGTGGAAGCCTGAGTGACGTTTAAGGCACATGTTTAAGTTCCTGTCTGTCAACATTTATTTTAACATTTATTCTAAGTCTGTTTGTATTGCACTTCAATACACCAACTTTTCCAGCTTGTTTGCGATGTTTCCACTCAGGTTTTAGTAGTGATTTTTGATCATTTTGAGATAAACGGCATTGTCCAATGTCTGTGCTTATGCAGCCAATATTAGCATTGTTGGTGTAGTTGCTGTGGGGTGCTGTTAGTGCTCCTTCTTGTGAGTTTTGGGAAGGTGGTGAAAAAGTTGGTTTGAGTCTGGTACTGTAACACTCATACATCCTGCTGTAAACATGTCTGAATTTCCTATAGAATAGAACAGAATTATACGTGACTTTCCCTTGTTTTGATATCAGCATCACACATCGGCCATCAGCAGCAATGCTCTCTAAAAATGACCACTGAAAAACACTATTATTGGTATATTGGTTGACCACTAATAAAAACAGGTGGATGGAAAAATACTTGCCGCTCAAAACCGGGTTTCAAGTCCAAAGGCACATATATCATTCCAATATCAGAATCATCACAGTAACTTCATTTTCTTATTTACTGGCCAATAATAATACAGTAACAGCTATAAACTTTCAGTGTGAAAGGTAAATTAAACCTACCCAAAACAAGTTCTGTGCTGCGGCCACTACCCACAGATCCCTGGGACACAGTGTCACTGCATCCAGACCCCCCTGACAGCTTGACGTGGACCATGACCTCCAAATGGTTTGCTGGAGGTGAACTGGGCCATTCTGAGAACGGGGGCACTTCTGTCAGATCTGAATGAGAGAATGAAAAAGAGTTCCACTATGCAAAACCTCCGGTGACATAATGGCTTTACTGGGCAACTCATTCAAAAAAATCTTCTGTAGCAATGATCATTTAACAAGGAACAGGATCCCACCTGGCTCGTTGTTCTGAGAGTTGAGTCCAAGCACAGACAGTCCGGCACAGTACAGGCAGTTGTTATCGTTGTGTTCCTGAAGACCCGTCTCCTCTGAGCCCAGCATCTGCTGCTGCTCTGCCCGGCTCACCGCCATCAGCTCTGTGATACTGAGCTGAGAGCGGAGCCTTGCTGGCCAACATCCGTCACTGGGGCCTAAGGACACACACATACGTTTGAGCAGGCTTTGGTTACATGCAGGTACACAGTCTGTGTGGAGAAAGAGGTGGAACACTGGCCGAACTGCAATCTCAAAACCTATTGTCTGCTTATTCAGCTTTTTATTAGATTTTTAAAAAAAAATCTGCATTTGTACGTAGACATCTGTTTACAGAGATTAGCCCAAATATGTCTTTCTCGTCAAGTTGCTTATTTGACTGCAGAGGAAGTCTTGGCCAAAATATCCGTTATCCCTAGTACATAGTGACAATGGGTGTACCAAATACTTGGTATTCAAATATTCAAAGAAATGTCTATATTTATGACTTAACTAATTTCCTAATATATTAGAGATGCCTTAAGTATAATCAAAACTAAAGTCACCTCCAGTCAAAAATCAGTGTTTCTTCTTGTTGCTCTGTGCTCACTGAAAGTCTCATTTGTAAGGGGCGGGGCCTACCAGCATGAACTGTGACATCACAAATAGTTTGGAAGTCCATCTTTGTCCAGTATGCAACTTGTACAGTGTGATGTAGAAAGTTGAAGCTACCAGTGTACATACACTAAGAATGGACTTTACAGTGAAGAAGGAGGAAAAAACAACTAGATGATATCAGACAAGAATGTTTGTATGTCTTAATAAATGTCTGGAGGGGATCTTCAAGTTGTAGCTAGGACTGCCAAACAGGCTGTCTAACTGTAAATTCAAAGTGTTTTTTCTAAATCCTCACCATCAGAGTCTCCAGAGAAGAATTTAGCAGAGCGGTCCTCAGAAGGCGGGCTCATCCTCTTTTGGAAATACGGGGTTTCTTTAATCTGAGGGAATCCAAGAACAGAATTCCCATCCCACTCAGTTCAGCTTCTAAAGAGTGAGGGGGTGTTTTTAACAAAAAGCATTCTTATAGAGGATTAGCCTCACCTGGAACATGTTGTTGATATTGACAGGCAAAGCAAGGCCTATATAGTCATCAGAGGATCCATAGGTGCCAGTGGACACAATGGAGCGTACAGAGGAAGAGCGCTGCAGTGTAGTTTGGTTGATTGGACTCAGCAGGTCTTCCTTGTCCAGAGATGCATAGCTCAGAGCTTTCAAAAATCTGAAAATAGATTAACACAGGTAGATAAAGTATGTTTTCCTCCGGTCTGTGCCTTATTTTGACAAAATGACCAGCTTGTTTCAAAAAAGCTATAAGGGCGTTCAGATCCATACTGGGTTAACAGGGGTTGCCTTGGGGGTGTTTATAAAGAGCTACAATTTCTACACAGTTGATGGGATGTGGATGTAAATAACCTCACTATTAAAGCTGAAGGTCAGCACTATAACCTAATAGTCATTGTTTGGAGTACAAACCACACACAAAACTGTCCATATACTTACACAATGCCTAGTATATTGATATTAGACTTACATAGATATGACCCAGGTTTATCAGTGTCCTACTCTATTTTGAAAAAAGTCACACGTACAGCAAATTCTCTTATAAAAGCTGGTATTCCGATAATGGCTGAAAGCTCACATGGAAAATTTAGTATGATGTCTATTTCCACAACAACAATTCCATTTATATAACAACAGAGTCATACTCACCACTCTGCTGCTCTCAGTTTCCATTTTTAAAGAGTAACTAAACCTCTGTATTGGTATTTACTAGTGTTACTGATTGATTCAGGTCCAAATCTGGACATTTTAGTGCAAAGTATATGAATTCCCCAGGTGACTCTGTGGAGTCCTTTCGCTTCCTGGGTACCATCATTACCCAGGACCTAAAGTGGGAGCTGAACATCAGCTCGCGGCAGTTCTCAAAGAGTTTGTGAGCCGGGGTGGAGGGTCAGCCACAATCTTGCCTGCAAGCTCAGGGTCGCTAGGAGGGCATACAGGTCCCTGGAGGGATGGCAGATTGCCAGCCGATAAAAAACCTTCTCAGCAGATAGAATGAATACGCTGCAGTCTGGCTCTTGTCCTCCTTGGCAGTGGCAGCAGTGTACAGATGGTGATGGAAGAGGTGAGGATGGTATGTGTAGTGAAGTGCACCCATCATTTGTCTTTGGCGAGGTTGAACTTCGCCCAGCTGCGCAGGAAGTTAAATCCTCGTGCTGGGCTTTCTTGGGAGG